AACTTATAAATCTACAGTACTGTGATATGGCGTTTGTTAATTTGCGACCGCGACGCGTTAACGCGTAACAGAAATCTACGAACCTAAATGAATGCATTACGAGCTACGTTTTATACCGTGATTGCCTCTGCGAATGGTAATGTCTCAGTGTAGAACATGGTACGTTTTCTTTTCCTTCATGTACTTCGTAATAACCTATGTACTATATAAGTAAACATCATATGCACGGTGGAATCAATATGAAAAAGACCGACGAACCCGCCGTAGGCTGTACTTAATTAGGGGGGAAATTGAAAGAACTACTGAACCGCCACTACAAAGCGGCACTAGGAGCACTGTTAATTTGTGCATACTTTTATATAATCCCAAGATATTTTCTTTTAGGTCGACGACAGCAAATATTCGTCAGTATAACACTGGTGATATGGGTTTTTAGTCTGGCACTTCATACGTCACACTGGTGCAATAAGCAGGTTATGCATTGTGATGACTCGCCTTATTCCACTTCTTCCTTTACAGGGTATTATGGCAAGTATTTATTTTACACAATTTCAAAATCGGTGAATCTTTCACGAAAAAAAACCCATTTTCAATTGTTGTCCTTTATTATGGCGTTCGGGCGCTGTAATAATTCAACGGCGCGTTTGTATTAGTCAAACAGTGGCACAGATAGAGGATAGCAATTGTCAACGTTATATTTGAAAGACTCCGCACTGATCGCAGTTGAGTTATAACATCGCCCTCGATGTCAATGAACTTGTAACCTGGATACTTCAACCTGAACTGATTGCAGTTTATCGGAAAGGTAAATTTACTTTGAATTTGGACATGAAAGAAGACTTTAAACGACACGGGTGCAATACGTTTAATAACACATGACAACGAATATTTATTATTGTTCTCTCATGCACATCTATTATATAAACGCCGCAGATTGCTGGAATAGAAAAAAACGGCATTACTTTACCATTAGAATTCCGCCTGGACAAACAAGATCATATATTGAGATTACATTTAATTGACAGGTTCTTTGAAAAACGATGGAATTATCTTTCTATGTCAAGAGTGATTGAACTAACATGTATTACCCTTGGGTGAAATCTGATTTCCCGTGTCTATGTATTACTTCTTTCGAACTGATCTCAGCTGTCATTTGCCATCACTAACATGTCTTCTTCGTTACTATGAAATTAATATTACTGTACGAAATAAAGCCTGAGTACGAGAATGGGATATACATTTCCGATCCAAGGCAAAATTTCGAGGCCACAGGCAGATAATGTCATCGCGGGGAGGGTTTTATTTACAGAAGAGTACAAGTACGAAGGTTTTTTTGACTGAATGTCTATATATATATATTTGAAAACATTCTCTTACTCTTAAAACATTTAGTGAGTACTGTCAACAATTCTACACACAAACTGTAATGGAAAACCTATGTTCATTACGCAACGCTTGGATGCATGAAACGTGTGCGTAAGTGATAATTTCCTCTCAGGTAATTTATTCACAGAAACTGTTCCACGCAGGACCTGCACAATAATCAACTCATGAATATTCATCATCAACAGATACATCTGACATGAGACAACGACTCTTCAGGATGTCAAGTCCGACCAAAGATAAACTGTCGAGGCCTGCATTGAACCTTGAGACGGACTTCATATCCCAAACATTCCGAGTGCTATGGCTTTATTAGTCCTGCTGTATTGTTTAGCTTTTGTTCTCAGACAATCTGCATACTTAACTTGTGGCAGGTGATTCTATACGCAAGACCAGGAACAACTTATGAAAATGACCCGTAAACGACATCTTGTTCCAGATAGCTCAATGGGAAAGGTGCATGTCCAAAATGTCAAATATTTAAAAAAAAAACCCTCTGTATTGCAATAGGTTTTACGGAAAAAAGTGTTTTTATGTTAGACTTAAATACAGACCGAGTAGGTTCATCATAAACACTTCCTGGTAGTGTGGTCCATAACCTTGGCACTTCAATCGTAAACGCCCGCTTTCCATAGTGCTTCTGGTTCAACTAGAATAAATGTACACGATCGCGGGGAACGAGTTGTTCTAACAGGTACATACATCTTGATGATGTCAGACAAATAGGCTGGCACTTCGTCATGTAAGATCTTATATGGGTACATTCAAACTTCGAAAAACATTACGCTGAGAGATTGGTAATCATTTTTTAAAGATCGGGTGATGTGTATTTAAGCTTATAGGACAGTGCAACTTATCGTGCCCCAGCATGTTGAGTACATTGAAGTCGTTGAATCAGATGTTCCTGAATATGGATATACACACTAATAAAATAATCTAATCTTAGGGTTATAAAAAAGTGAATTAACAACAGATTTCTCACTGAATAAATGATAAACGCTCATGCTTGTCAAATTTCGAGTATAAGTGTAGTACCTCAGTTATGCTTGCATCTTGTACTTGTTTGTTGGTCACCATTCACGCTTGCATTTCAACGATACACATACCAATCGCAGATTTTGATATTACGTAATTCTACACCATATTTATAATTGCGTGTCGCCAGCATACATCACAATTGTAACAAAGTAGCACAATACACTGCCTTTTGGTACATCAAACGGTAGATCAAGTGGTTCTGAACAAACCTTATCAATACAAATCACCAAGGTGATTACATATGCATGAAGAAGAACAACGACATGTAAATTAAAACAGAAGATTCAGTGTTGATACAATCCTGCAATAAAGCTTTCTGGTTGATAGAGAGCACTAGATGAATTCGAATGGTTGTAACAAAATACAAGAGCGAATTGTAACAAGTTACTCACACTAACCGCCCATTACCCTTCGATAGAGGACAGTTTTTGTTCATTTGTTCAGCATTTACTTGTTCAAAACATAAATCCGTTTACTCAATAATTACTTATTTTTTTTCTCCAAATAGTATATGAGTATATGAATAACCGTTTCGCAGAGCGAAGTTGTTCGAACATTATTAAGGTGGAATGTACTTTCCAACCTTTTGAAAATGAAATATCTTTTGCGAGCATTATCTTGGATTCGTCCCAACGATTTCCGGATTGACATTACGCCATGTGTCGTGCACATTAACACCGTAGTCACACACAAGCATTATTTCCTTATTATTTGAAAACAGCAACTTAAGTGCAAAAATATAACAATGCTATTCGCCCAATAATCGACAATTGATAATCCCGTTTGGTTTATTGAGATATATATTATGACTTGAATATCAACATGTACCTGATACTTAATCAGGGATTATTAATTTATGTTAGATTGATCTGTGATTTCAATTATTGTTCTTAACTGAAGATAGATAACATGAGTCCAGTTTCCACTTTAAATATAATTTGACATGGGGCCAAGAATTAGGTCATAATGCCCCGGGTAATCATTATATATTTAATATAATGGTACTACAATTAATCTGAAAAACACGTTGTCGAAAAATAATTTATATCAGGATTTTTACCGTAACTTATAGGTTGCATTCTTAGCATTGAGATTAATCTGCTTTAGATATCCCACACCGGTCATGTTGCAGTTACCACTTTAGTACAAGCTTTTCCACTTAGCAACAGTATTCTTGGTGTCAGAAAAAGAAGATCCGCGATACTGTTATACTCACAAACACCACACGATAAATCTGCCACGATTCAGTGCTATGACACACAATATCTGACTTGAAATTTAGACTGTAGGTAAATACAAATGTCTAGTTTTTGGTTCCGATGGCAAGTCAGTTTGACGTATTACAAGATCAATGAGGTTCAATCAAACAGGAAAGTGGCTGGATAAATAAGTATCAACTATCGGTCGATACCCGCCCAACGCAACGTTTCATAGCATACGTTGCAAGTATGAAGTTAGTAGTGTGAGTGCCCTCACCGTATACTGCATTGGGACATAATTATATTTATATTTAAGTTACACAAGGCTGGCAGGATGGATATGTAATTACGCAATGGATTCGAGTGCATGTGCGTGCGAGAGTCTGGTGTGGAAGTTCTTAACTGATAATTAGGTTCGGTTTCAAGTTTCCAAAACTAAATGTTCACGACGTTGTGTTCCTGTTTTGAGAAATGAATCGAAATTGTTAGAGTGTTATTTAATAAACTGGAAGAACATTATATTATATTATTATACATCTGTCATCGTAACTCCATAATTTACCGCGTGCCGTAATTTTGCGGTATTTTACGTGGTATTGTCATCCTACCATATTAGGAAATGCGAATCCAAATATGCACTGATTACGCACGTAATCGTCCTCTAATAATAAAAACAAACATGGCTGTCACAAGAGTTTGACTGGACTCTACACACAGATGTTTGCTGATTCTGTTCTAAACACTTTGAATGTGGGCATTCCCATGGTGTATCCTTGGAAGGAAAAGATGTATAATAATAAGGTTATTACGAGAATACCTCAAAGTATGTACTCAGACAGTACGCCGCGCATCGACCGACGAGCAGATACTCCAGCTGTACTGTCGTCGTAATAACCTCATAATATTGGCTTTAATGAAGAGATACTGATGTTCCTAATTATTGTTTTTTTTCACTGAAATTTCGGGTTTGAAACATTTTATTCGTTGCAATATGCGTACAACATGCAATTGTATTCAATATGACAGGTATACTTTCCACCGTTGTCATGTGTCTCAGTAAAGTTTCTAAACCCATTCATAACATTAGGTTTATCATTGTTCAGCAAATGTTTATGCACACAGATGTTTTGATCAAACTTTTATTTTTTATTCTAACATTTATCTAAACGTTATTTTTCGACAAGAGATTTAAAACAAACAAACACATATTGTTATTTGGATCGATAAAAGAAACATTTCCTAAATATCATTAACTTTTGTGATAATCAATTCGCTTCTATGAATTCTGGCCTCTGATCTGTATTTATTGTGATATATCATATTCATTTCGCATGTTGAATCTTCTCGTACTGACATATGTACGATCTGCGGCTGATGTACCTCGCTCTACTGAAAGTTTCATAGAAATCCATTAATCCATTGCAACAGTTGGAGTTGTTCTTGGGAAAATATCTAGAACATTAAAATACATAGAATGTTGTCAGCACAATATATCGCGAGTATGTTGAATATTCTCTCCTACATCGTATGCGAGCTCCCCATTGGACGAGCGGTGGTCACGCAGGGTGAGATATTGCTTTGTTTCACATTTAAGTGGCGTCTCCCGTTCTGACGTCAAACGATAGTGTCCATTGGAATTGTACGCGCTAAAATTTGAATACGTAAACAGGGTAGCCGTGGACATTATATTAAAAGTAGCCATCACGTTATACGTTTTTCAAATTTAACACAGAACTACACATCGCGAGTGTTTTGTACAAGTACAAGTGCAAGTACACAGAAACGGAATGCACGTATAAGTTTTTATACGACTACGAATACTTGTAATATTCTGATAAGGAACCTTTCAAAAAAAAAAAAAAAAACTAATTTGAATATTCGCAAAACTTTGGTTTTGAAATGCATTTGATTGTATTTATTTTACAACTACTTTTCGAGATGGGCAAAGCAAAAAATATACGTAAGCCAATCTTCTAGGATATTATTTGTCCTCGCATTATTCAGTATTATTCACATGAGATGCACCTCGGGAAATAAGTATCACTTCGGTCAGAGAAATATTGATGAACTCCTAACATGAAGCTAATGTTTCCATAATATCCGTTAATTTAACACTAATTCGTCAGAGCATTACTTATAATTTGTTACTTAATGAATATAACCGACAGTGACGCATGGGGGAAATGTATTTCCTTTGGTTGTTGAAAATAATATTCATCATATTATTAAATATTACGTACCAGATTATTGATTATTTTCGGTTAAACAATGGATAGTGATTCCGTTAGGCATCTAAATTTCAACATGGGTAGCTGGATGTTTTATGGTAGACAATTCACATCAGGATTTGGTATCAGTACATCACACATATTAAAATGGCTATAAATACACCCTTCTTGTTTTATATAAACTTTTTGTTAAGGTATATATTGGGTTCAATGGACAGGCGTACCAGTAGTCCAATTAGTTCATTCCTAGAAAGTTGAACACAACTGGATTGTACAACAACACCAAGTAAATCACACAATGTTGCACATTCTGTAGCAAAGACGATGGTACCAAACTATTATACAATCCAGACAAAATCATTGGCGCGATTTATTCTGTTAAATGCACGTGGTTAGCTTTTTCAATGCCAATATGTATACAATATGTTTAAATGACAGAAAAACTGTGTTTTTGAATCGGATAAAAAGACCAGTAAAGTATACATAATATGCAAAATATTAAAGGTAGAAAGATTCGACTAAATCTGTCGATTCTTAACGCAAGACAAAGATAGTCTGTTCTATCGTTGGACGCATAAATCAATTCAGCGGTTGTTAATACTTGAGTCTCCTGTCTCACTAACGGCGGGCGCTCTTTCAGTCGTGGCCGTACTCTCCCTGCTGTTGAATTAACTGGCGTTTCGGTTACGACGACGTTATTAGAGTCTCCGTCGTCTTCATAACTTACAGTCCTTGCAGACACTTTGGGTGACGTCATCTGATTTTCTCCCTGTTGACAAAAATAATTGGATCATTGGGAAAAGGAATGTGTGTTCAATTGGATCGTCGGAAATTATTCAAAAAGAATCATACACAACTGAATCTTTACATTTGAAACGAAGTGAAATAATGTAGTAACATCCATAATAGTATCAACATAAACCTTGTGTGCGTCTTTCATTGAATTTTCTCTCATTCGTATTGTTCTTCTGTACTCTCGTTTTTTTCTTCTCTCTGCGTACTGTCCTTTTTCAAATGAATATAAATAATACACCACTGAATATTCTAACAAGGCTAGGAATACTAATACTTGGCAAGTAACCATCCATACGTCAATAGCCTGCGGAATAGAACATAAACAAATTGTAACTGTGTTAGAGGAATGTTTTTTACTAGAAACCAGCGGGCAGTGATTCGGAATGACATACTCAATGAATGATAAATGAACACTTATTTATTTTTACATTATACAGATATGATTTAAGCACGCGAACCAATGACGGAGATGTGTCAATTTAAAAGAAGTTGACATAATCACTACAAGGCAGGAATGCAATCTATTCAAACACATCGTGGAGGCTAAATATTTCTACCGAAGTTACTGTTATATTAAAAATGGGGAGTAAACCGCCTTGCAGTTACCTTTTCAATAAAAAATCATATAACGAGCGCTATCGTCATTTTATTGTATTTATAGAACTTACCGTGGCATAAGCTATCTTAGGTAACTGGCTGCGTAACCACGTTGCCTGTGTGACCAACGCTAAAACAGTAGTAACTCCTAAAGCCACGCGAGCAGGCGCAGCAGATATCTCCACCCATACTGAGAGCCACGACAGCGCCACCAAGAGTGAACTCGGCACATACGCTTGTAACACGTAGAATCCAAGACTTCGAACTAGAGAAAAGCTTACACCCAAATGCGTGAAATCACCTGCAATAAAAGCCATTAGTCTACATATGATTCTCATTAAAAGATAATGGTATTCTTGAGTCTTGAACGAGAGAGTCGTATTTACAATGTATATGTCAATGTGTGATATAAAGCCTTGCATATGTGAGAAATAATTTGAAAGTCCCCCAACCTTAACATCTATCCGTACACTAATGGGTTCAACCCATGTCTGCTCATTACGAATTGAAAGACACAATGCGTCAACCAAACCATAGATACAGCGATAAAAACACACAGTGTCTATATCATGTGACAAGCACTGGGATATAAACACCGAAATGTGTGTATTCAAAGACAGTCTGAGTGTCAACATTTCAAAATATTATATACAGCATAATGCAGTGTACGTTTGAAACAGATGAAACTTCCTCAATTAAATCATTACAATTTGCGATGTATTAGCGATCTACTATTCTCTAACTCTCGGTTAGAGATGCGTAAGATGCGTTTCAATTAATACCGTTATATAACATATAAAATAAGTCGTCGAATTTGATGTTTTGATTTTATTTACCCGTCATGTAATGCGTGACATTGGCGAACTCTTTAATGCCTTCCAAGTAATACTGCGGCAATTCAACTTCATCGTGAATCTCAACAGCAGTGGTATTGGTCAGCCACTTCAAAACAAGTTCATTCATATTATATGAATCTGAATAAAAATAAAAACATTCACATAATCAATTTATTATGATATCAAGTTGTACTAACGTTTTCTGAGCTGCATTTTGTTTTGTAGCTTAATGGCAATGTGGCGATTATTAAAATTAACAAAATAATGTATATCATCAGTTTATACTACGTCGTAGGCTCTTTGAGCTACCCAGTCTAAATTAAATTATGAAACCGAAATGAGCTTATTTAACCAACACTAAATTGAATGAAAGTAATAATACGCACATGAGCAGCGATGATAAAACTACATGCTAAAAACAAAAAGGCTCATGGGTAGACGCTTGTTTGTAAACAATGACACGCTATGGCCATCTGGCGCGTGCGCAGGTGACGACTCACCCGCTTTAATTTAAACTTACATGACTCTAGTTGCATATGACATTCCTGCGTGTCCATAGGGAATTTACCAAGAAACATATAACAAGATAACACCAAACTTAGCCTAGGATGAAAGTAAAAATAATAAATACAACGCAGACACATTATATACCGTTCCTACGTACCAAATATAATACGTAGCAAATAACGTTTTAGGAGTAATATACATAACTGAAAGAAATAAACCAACACGATTTGGTAGTATAACTTGTGTTTAATTAACCGTAAATATACGTCATCTTAGCTATTTAAGTTTCTTTAATTGTCTTCACTAAGTGTACATTATAATTATGTCCACTGAGTTATGTCCACTCTCAAAAACCAATACTGTTTGAAATGTAATATAGATACGAATTATTGGATTGTTTGGTAATTGAAAAACGTGCCTTGAATACTAACGAGGATAACTGAAGAGGTTTGCACTAAACTAATTATTCACCTTGTGAGACAACGTTTATTCAACGTGTATTCATATGCCTACCCAGGGAGACCGGGCACTTGTTCATAAGCATGTCTATGTATCATACACTGTGAGCAGGCTAAACATTATATACACTTAGAGTACCACAATTTAGACAAAATATGGCGCTCAGACAGAATACGATATCTAACCTTAAACTGTACAAAACGTTACCACTTGGATCTATCCTTAGTAGAAGGTTCTCTTTTGGAGTGCTGTGAATTGTGACCGACTTTGCGTTAGTGAAAAACAGATCCGGTACCCAGAACATGTCCATTACATCACCACCATTGATGACTATTGTACTCGTTGAGTTGTGTCGCAATCGAGGATCGTGCCACGCTTGTCTGAGAAATATTGTAAGTTCATAATCCTGATGAAAGAAGACACACGTATGGCTGCTAAAGTATTTTAACATGAAAACGACAAATCTTCCAGGGGTGTAACTCTGTATAACTGTTACTTGATCATTACATTGCAACATGAAATAACACTAGCTGATGTCACATTTAAGAGGTATGCAAAGCACTTGTCGTCTACATTATAGCACATGGAATGGCAAAATTTTTGCTACGTAATGTGTATCTATACATAGTCGCATATGTAATTTTGAAAACGGTGCAAGATAGTTTACGTATATGCGCATTAATCTCTCTTGCGTAATTGGTTCTTGGATTTGCACTTCTCAATTGTGAATATGAAATTAGTCATAGAGTGTGAATTATGTTTTTTATCATAAAGATAATTTTAAATATCAGACTTACATTGTAAAAAATCACCGTTACTCTAAACTGATAATATTGTAGCTAATCAAACAAACCACGCGTTGATTGTAACAACGTATGTACTAGACTTACACTTACCATACTGCTCTCCGACACGGAGTCAAAACTATTGATGTTAATGTTGCAGGAAACGACAGTCGGCTCACCTGGCATAACAATGTATTCAGACAATTAGCATATTTCTACTTGGTGGGTGCGAAAACTGTTATATCATTAATTTGATTAGGTTTCACAATGTGTCATATCTAGTTCGCAATGATATCATGTATACACTGTACATGTCGGAAGCACGTTCATGTTTTTCATTAAAACACACTGTTTTAATTGAAAGCACACTGTTGTAGTTAAAAAACATGTGTATTATATAATAAAACACTTGTATTTTCTATCAAAACAGTAGTGTTTTAGTATTTTTAGAAAAGTGTTTCAGGGAGTTATTAAAACACTTTTTGATAAAAAAATAAGCACATTGTAAACACAAAAATAAACTTTTTCAAAATAAAACACTGAGTGTTAACGTTGCCCTAAATGTGTCATTAGAGTGTTTATTGTTAAAATATTTATGGGTTAATGGATCCAACTTTATTCAAACAGTATTAACAAAAGTAAGTGAAACGTCTGGGGACGCGAGAGTAGACATTATGGTATATATGCCAACTAGTCAATCACCGAAAGTGACGTAATCAACGCAAAATGATAGGTCATGACATTACCTACAGAAAATAATTTTATGTCACGCACCAACCTTCATGGTCTCACCAACTAGAAATCGAGACACGTGGTGAATTAAGTACCTGGTGGCCTAACATATTTTATTAATCCGCATTTGGTGAACGGTAGTTGTAGTTCCAATCGCACCCGAGCATTCTCACATGTCATTTAAACAAGTGATTTTTCTCGAAACATTTTCAATTTGAAACACTTCAGAAAGCAAAATCACCAACGATCTTTCAACCCGAAACACCAGACTATTAATGTTTCGCAAAGTGTTAATGTATAAGACAAATTTGTGTCCATGAGAGTAAAACACTAAAACATTTTTCTTCCAAATTGTTAAATTGTTTTATCATGAATCACTTCCAAAAACAAACACACATGTAATGTTTCAAGGTAAAACACTCGACTATGCTTGCTTTATAAGTGTCTATGTATACGACATGTAAACAATTTCATCAGTTTAACTAAAACACTTTTCTTGCGTATTGTTTTATCATGAAGCACTTTCTAAAACAAACACACATGTAATGTTTCAAGGTAAAATGACTATGAATGTTTTTAAAGTATTTACGTATATAACATGTACAAACATTCATTAGAGTAACTAAAACACTTTTCTTTGAAACTGTTTTATTTTGAGGCACTTCAGAAAAAAACACACACATGCAATGTTCCAACCTAAATGTTCCTAACCGATTATATACAGGTCACTTTTGTATGCCGTCTATGCATCTATAATGTACACAGTACTTATTATCGACTGTATGCAGCATATTTATTGTAAAAATAAATGCTCACACACGTCACATTTGTCAGCAAGTCATACTGTGCATGTATCGATAAATTTATCGATTTTAGTATTTTGCGAGTGTGCATGCTATGTACTTGTCACAAGTTTTATAACCGATGGTGTTGTTATCAATGTTAAAATTAGTAAGCTGGATGACGCTGCGCTAAACAGGCATTAATTCCCTGTGATCTAATCATTAGATTGAATTTCTTTACATCTGTTTTTCTATTGGCGGAGCCTCGGTGTTGAATTCCAATATGGTGATTACCACGAACCTGTGCGAATTTGTGCCTAATTTAAACGAGCTCATCTAACCCTCTAATAATACATAACCATTGTTATTTAGAAATGTAATTAATACAATAAATACAATATGAAAGCAAATATTGAACAATAAATAGGTTTGCTACTTCTTTTCAAATATTTTGAAATACCTTTCGTAAACGACGGTAGACATTAATGTATGTTGCGCGTTTAAGTAACTGGTAACGTGTGTCGTGAGCACGTTCATTCATATTGAATTGTACTATCGGGAGTGTGTGGACAGGTGGCATACTCGTTGAAGAAGCAATTACAACTTGAACCGAATGACGACTTTTTTGATTTTCTGAGAAAAGAAGGGAACCGGAAGTTATCCTAAACAAACCTGAGTGTATGATAATATTGTTGCTCCGTAACGAAGCGGGTGGCAAGTGTATTTGATATAGCAAGCGTCGGCAGTTGTGTACTAATTGATATTTGCAGCGGCCTCCATTCATTTAGTTATGTGCGGGGTAACTGATTAAACTCAAGTTCGTGAATTTATTGATTCCAATATCGCATTGCTTGAAACAATAATTATAATTTATTAAACAATACTCACTGCATTTTGATTATATTATACTTTTCAGATTCAAAGAGAAACGAACGGAGCGGACAAGATGATACTGCAAATATTCGGATTTGATTTGTTCTGTTAATATGGGTTATTGTTACTTCAGTGCCCTCGTCTTATATGCGAGAAGAACTTTGGATTAATAGGTAAATATAGTTTAAAATACCACACTATTCGTTTGATGGGTGATTTTAAAAATGATAAAAATAAGCAAACAACCCATTTGACGGATAGACAATTAAAAAATGAATGAATAGAATAGATGTAGTGCATATATTCAGAGTCGAGGATTGAATGTGAATGGGATCGCAATAGATGAAATTAATGATTTTTTATGCCCCAATATTTTTCCCCAGGAATTTGATGTGCCCGGAGGGACTGCATCCGAGACAACAGCACCACATGAGAAGAGATTGGGCCTTTTCATTTATGTCAGTGAGGAAAGGGTTCAAAAAGATATTATTGTTAATTTCAGTTCATTACGCATCTGTTTTGAAGTGTCAATGTTCCCAAATATGGGGTATTGTATCTACAGTTTCACGAAAGGTTTGAATTTCAGTAAACACACTTATTCACGCACTTATTCAACAACTATACATGTATGTTTTTGAACTTACCTTATTATTCTTACTTGATTACGTGATTTGTTTATTGTTTGTTATGATTACTGTACAATAGTGCAAAGTGTCTCATCATGAAACGCATTATTTGATATATTTTGTTTTCAAAAATGATAATGTTAATGCTTTTTTACTATCTAATCAGTGTAAATACATTTTAAAATGTGTCTCTGTTACGAGCACTGGTCAATATTCAGTTTGTGTTTTACTTTTCGAAGTGTTGCGATGATAAACGCTTTTTAATATATATTTCTGGTGAAAACTCTTTTCAAAATATGTGTCTAGTGAAATCACTTTTAAAAGAGTTGTGATAGTAAACAATTCATTAACAAAGTCTTCGGTTGAGACATTTTTCTACGTGTCGTGATTATAAACACTTTACAAAATGTGTGTCTAGTAAAAACACTTTTAAAAGTTTGGTGATAATAAGCACGTTTTATACATGTTCCTGGTGGAAACACTTTACACAATGTGTGACTAGTAAAAACACTTTTCAAAAGTGTTGTGATAATACGCACTTTATATACATGTTTTTAGTGGAAACACTTTTAAAAAACGTGTTTCTAATCGTACCACTTTACATAATGTGTAATGGGCAAAAACATCCCTGAATGTTCCAATAAAAGTGTTTTCATAATATACACTTCCCGCAATTATGCAGATTATAAAGACTTTAAGTGTTTTTAAAGTGGGGACAAGCTTATAAACACTTTAAATGTTTTATCACAAAACGGTGAAAATGTATTATTTTAAAACAGTAGTGTTGTAAAATAAGTCATTTGCGATTTAAAAAAAACACACATTTAAAATGGGGACAAAAATGTGTCATATTTTAAAACACCTAGATTTACAGTGTAATGCTATACAAATGAGAAGACTCGACTGAGTATTGCTATGTTTGGTTAAAACTCCCTTAAGTATGTTATCCCCCGACGCTGAATATAAATCATTCGAGATACATGCATATACACACACAAGGACATTACGACATTCACATAAAAAGCCGTTGCCTCGATTGAAAAAAATTCTGGACAATATCAGCAAGTACGTTTTGTTTCCTAATTAACACCTTTTATTTCATTACTGAATTATTGAAACTCGATCGAATCATTGATTAAAAATTAATGGATCATGTCACTACAATTCACTTTAATTATTTTCTTTGTCATCACGAGGGATTACTTTATCTACGTAACTCCAGCAAGGTTCTAACTCATTGCTAGCCTCGGGCGTATACTTTTCTTTTATTTATAAAGAAATTGTGCATAAAATTATAAAAAATTAAATACACTTTCCTTCGTTAAATTGCTTAAAAAATTAATTGATTTTACTACACCTAATATACTTTCTATTAGTATAACTTTGGTAAAATATTATTACTCATTGTTAAATTACTGCAAGCAGCGTTCTTCTTTCAATTCTTCGTAACTATACAGTTTTTGTACAATCTATGTCGTCTGCTTGATCTAGAATATTACTATAAGATTCCACACATCATTTTATTTGAGAAATATGTGAGCTTTAAATTGCCCAACATTGTCTCATACTTCACAAATAACTTTTCATTCAATTTATCATTAAAACGTTGTTTGTTTCTCTAGTAATTAAAATACAATTGCAACACAATAAAACAATGACAGACAGACAGACAGACAGACAGACAGATACACATATACACAGCTCATCCTCTTCTCATATTTGCATAAATCTGATTTAGAAATAATTTGACGGCAATACTACTGAATTTGTGTCATCTGATCAGACAAATATAACACACCTTTAAAATACTCACCCCTGACTGTTGGCCTCAGCTTACTCATCTGGGTGTCTCCAATTTGACTTAGTAATTTGAGATCTTCTCTAAAATATTCTCCACTCGACCTACAATACAACATACATCAAATAAATAGGAATGAGTGACATATAAAAATAAGATTATGTTTAACATGCCATTTTTTTTTAATATCAATTGATGATTTAAAAAATGTATATAAAAAGTAACTATGATGCTCTCAAAATGTAAACGACAAATACGACCATTTTCTGATAACTGTTTATCTAAAAAAAGTTCGAAGACCCCTATTTATTTTCAGTATTCTTACGACATGGAACACATAATAACACAAACAGGAACAACATTAAACATAACTTTAAATTTATTTCCATCCTCCTTATGTAATACAGGGCGTTCACGTGTCAATGAACATTGATTCCAAGAATTTCAAGTGAAATTATACAGTGATATTGACAATGACATTCAGCATTGTAACCGAATATTTAATTGGTTTATCTGATATAACATTATCAAATAATATAACCTGGTATTTATGGTATGACTTGCTTCTTTATTACACACTCATTTTATAAAGTACATATAACTGTAAAGCAGAATATAACTCGTGCGTTCTGTTATATGCGTATATTTTTTGCTCATATTTCATTAAATGCTTCAGTATTAGTTAACAATATGTAACTTTTATTTGTTATTCCAATTTTTAAATAGTCATATAATAACAAGAAATACCATTTTAATAACAGTGTTTTTATGCCAGAAGGATAATATTTGATGTTATTAAAAACATACTACAAATTATGTATATTTTAAAAATATTAATCAACAAACACAACATATATCAATTGTTAATCGTATGTAACTGAGTACGCCTTTGTGATATTTTCTAGCCATAAAATGTCATTTTTTCTCACTTACTAATATACATCATTTCTATGTCATGGCCCCATTTATATAGAAATGTATCGTTATTCTGAACAAAGTTCATGCACGTAAACAAATTTGAACACGATACGTATTATTTTTCATATACCCATCATTGAATTGCAGGAACATATCAGTCTTTGTAGCTTAGACATGTTGAACTATCACATTTTACCATATTTACAGTTCACACCGAGTATAATACATGCTGATCAAAGTATGGATATAGTATAAGTTCTAGCTTTACATTTTTTCCACCAGTAGAACATACAAGTAAAAACTTACTATGAAATAAACATTTTTGTATACTGTACATAACATATTCTTCTGCGTGCAAACAAAAAGAACCATTATTTGTTTTTAAAAACGATGGCGGAATCTTCATACAATCATTATTATTATTAGGCATCCAGGCGTCACATTTCTATCATTGCACATTTCATATACGTACTAATGTACATCATGTAGGAGTTAACATAGAGTACTACTGACAACTATGCTTCGCCATTATTCAATTCTAATCATAATCCTGATAAAAGTTTGAAAATCAGCCATAATGAAAGCGGACTATAGTTTACAAGACCAGGAGAATCAGAACGTAATCCCGTCAGTCCATATGGTGGTTGAAGGCATCACATAATTACTTGTTTAAATGCCAAGACTTTTGAGATTTTTGCGCTAAGGTCGGTCATATATTAAGTTCCATTCTTGAACAAATTGAATTGTATATTACAAAGTGTTACGGATAATTCTTTTCTCGCGGGATCAGATATCAAAATATAATGGATTAGACATGTTTCACATATTTCTGTAAGTGGTTATAACATGCATTACATAAAACGTCACATTCTTTTGAAGCATGTGACCGTGATGCAATATCGGAATGAATTACAGGACGCCTTATGTCGCTTTCAATATAGCTGACTCGTTTCGTCTTCTTACCCGTCTGATTGAAACAAAGACAAGTAATCAGTCATTGTATGTTGCCCATTTTCTGTAGGACTGACAAGATTGTCATTCCTATTATGTCTGCGATGTTGCCTGTTGAAAATAAGTGTCATACGTTGTTATTATAAATATTAGCCCACACAAATTGGATACCAACATTTATGTTTACAAAATAGTAGTAAATGTTAATGACAAACCCCACGATTACAATATAAAAATGTTCATTATTTGTTGAAAATGTCTACAGCCTGTCAAAAATGCATAGTGTTGTATGTCAAAAGATTTCTCCATTTCATTCTAAAAATAGCAAGTCAGTAGCAATACGTCTAATATATATACATACGACATATATTGCCTACGGTAAATTATTTCATCAAATTCAGTTACTTGAAAATCACCAGTGAACATTTATTTATCTCACGGTGAGTCGGACATCAATGAACGTTTCTCTAGTTCAAAACAGTTACTGTGATGTATAAAACACCAACGTTTTTACTACATAGTATCAGTTTCATTAGCGGTATTAGCAGGCTATGGGTCATAAAATAAAATAATAAAATAAAATTATCTCTAATTATTAATTAAATATTACGAGTATATAATAACATGAAATCAATGCCAGTAGTAAGTTTAAAAACAAACACAAACACATGCTTTTGTTTATTTAAATAAGTTATGTAATCAAATGAATGGAACAATTATGTGTTGAATGAACTGTAATATCTCCTTTATCTACTCGACCTAAATTGAAAAAAACACCATTATTGATCAAATAAGTTATTAGATAACATTGACTAAAGTGATTGCATACATCTATATGCTAATGTACGTCTACTACGTGGATTGTGTTAAAGTAGGGCCGAGCCGCGTGCATGTGTAATACGCCCTACATAATCATTGTCCTCTCGAGAGGAACACCTGATAACAGTAGACATATTGAGCAGCAAGGGACGCAACTTTCCAGACATCTGATAGTTTACATTATGAATGACAAATAATTATCCGTAGGTACTTAACATTCCTTTTGAAGTGGTTATCAATGACAGTACAGCCTTAGGTCGCAGTATTAAGTTCCAGATACATAAATTGTTGTAAGACAACGGACCGTGTTATCTGGTCATTATTCATATATTCAATGTATTAATTGAGTATCTGTGTTCAAAGTGTGATCATTCCTTTTATACGTAACACGATTTTCCAACCATCGTTTTTCATAAGCTGTTGTTACACTGTGTTACATTAGAGTTATGTGTGTATATGTTATGTCTTTCCAACGTAAATTATTTTCCAAATGTACTTGAATTCGCAATTAGTAGAAATGCTCAGACTTGATTATCCTACTTTTTTTATATAAAAAAGGACATTTAACTGAATTTATGTGAGCATGTCATTATATTAGACTGAGAGATTGCATACGAGGCAACAACATCAGTATTGTAAATTTATGACAATTATCTATTAATTACTCTGCATACTGAAATGAGATGCAGCATTATCTCACATCGAAATAATTACAGACTAGACACGCACACAAAAACACGCAACACATGATGCGACTTCGCCACACATCGAATCGCCTTGCCACTGTTATATCATTTTTCGTGTTAAAATGTACACCGATACTTTAACACTGTACTTGTACTAGTCATAGTCATCCAGTCATGATTCATATATGTTAAGGAATATAAACGCCACGCCACGCCACGCCACGCTACGCCACGCCACGCCACGCCACGCAACACAACACATCACCATTTCAACAGTTAGACCTTCGTAATACTATAAACAATATCTCACTACCAGTTTTATTTATTTTATGTGGACGTCATCTGAAATAATTCATGTTCGATAAGAAAATTAGCAAGATAACTGAAAATATATAGATGGTATTTCTTATCATTTGTAAGAGGTGTTTGATGCCGTCGACACAAACACTAGCTCATTAAATGTTAGTACAGATATAAGTTTGGTTATTATAGAATTTAGGGAATGTTTTTATTTATTTATAACGCAAAATTGTTTTGATGGATTCTCATTCCAACTAGCAGAGGAGGTGCCTTGAACACAAGACATAATCGATAAGGTCTTGGTGAAGATTCAGTTGCCATAGTAACATCAATTTTTAGAATTATTTGTTTTGTATAATTCAAAAAAGGTAAGAATGGAGTGTCATAAGATTGTTGGAAGGAGTTGCTCTTGATACATACTAATCGATTACATTTCAACGTATACTTTGTTGCCATGGTAACGGCAAATGTTAGGAATGTTTTTTTTATAACTCAATACAAACCAAAAGAACGGATGTGGGTGAAGAGTCAGATATGATTCAGAAACTACAATTTTGAGAATTTTTTTTATTTATGGTCCCAACAATTATGTACAGAATTTCACGTAATTTGCAAGCAAGACTTTGGATGTGGATTTTGATTTTGATTTTGATTTTGGATGTGGATCCGGTTGCTATGGAAACAGCGTATTCAGTAATGAAATATTTTTCTAGTCGCTACACATGCTCAGTTTGTAATTCAATTGTCTGTGGCACACAAGCATCGCGTGCAATCACATACGTCTACCTGAAAAAAATTCATTTTATACAAACGTTCTTCAGTATAATATACACTCGTACTTGCGCAATTTATTTCAGTATCGCTCTGTATTGGTAGAAACGATTATATAACTTGCAGGTTGTTTTTCTCAAAATTGATGAGACATATTCTATGTTTGCTAATGACGTCCCTGGAGTGCATTACAATACAGAATATCCCGGTTGTGAAAACATGTGATCTCTAATTTTTAGATAATCGATTATACGTACTCTCGTAGACCTAATATTGGCTTTGTCTCTATTGAACAAAATGTATACACGGTTTTCATGGAAAGCTGATTGTTAAGCTCACACTCGTCCGAAACATTATGCCAGAAGAAATAAATTATTCAGAACAGATACAATAGGATGCCGTACTCTTGCCCAACTATTTAATTGTATTGATATTTGATACCTTGCCAAAGTATTGCATGTCTAATTGAACTCATTGTAAAGCTGCGCACATATTCACGTAGAAAAGCATATATCTATTACACTGTTCTGTTGGTCATGGCATTTTATCTGCGCAGTGAGGCAGGGTATTTCCCTCACTCGTCAAACAGCAGCATTTACCCCATCAATCTTTATTTAGCGAATAATTATGTTTCTCTTTTAATAATTAAAAAGGACATAAACGAACACAATTGTTTTAAAACGAAGGATTGTTCTAATTACTGTTATTGAATCAGTATTACAGATATTTTTATTTGGCGCATTCGAGACAAGGCAATGGTTAGTGCACTTTATTATTATGAATCATTTGAAAGTGTGCTACACGATTTGCATCTAGTTTGATGTACTAGATTTCCCTGTCAACATATATGTATTCAGATTCCAGGGCTGATCGTTATATAAATTGATATATAATTTATGCTTGTGTCAAACTCATGTGTAGTAAAGTACAATACAGAGTTTTTACTTACGCCACATCGATAATTTCCGTATATACTACGTGCAATACGTGCTTTCATTTCAACTTTGATAACCCCAAAATCGCATCGACAATAAATATGAAGTACATTATGTTCACTATGGTGAACCGCTAGTCACGTGAAAACATGTCATGTGTGATTACACATTTGTACTACATATGAAAACATACTGTTCACGAAAAAAAATGAAGTAAATATGCGTCTCTTACCCAAGAGTCATGGACACGTGCATGAGTAAAATATCGATGGTTAGAGCGTGTACCAGCACCGCATTCGATATGACCACCATGACAGTAGGATAGTCCATTAACACAGATCGGGTGATGACATGTGTACGACGATACCACTATGTCTAAGCGATCGTTGGATAACAGCTGAAACAGGGGAGACATTCCATGGACTCGCTTCGCATGGTGCGTTGTCACACTGCAAGTCAAAACCAAAATTGATATTAACCTATGGATCTCTCGCAGCAAGATAAATCATAATTTAAAATTAATTTAAAACATAATAAGTCTTAAAAATTAACCTTTCTTACTGGGATCAGAAGTTTCTTCATTTACAGGCATATACTATGCGAATGACAACGACTTCCGTTGTTTCACCATAATTTTAGTTCACTGACACAGGGTGCATTTAACGACGTAAATGATATGCTCTGCAGAGTGAAATTTCTCGGTTATATACGGATGAGTTATGTTAATATAATGCAGTAATTTGCCCATGGATCATTGCGCGATGTGATTTCGCAGAACTAGCGCAATAGATCGTATTTGCTCCTACATATTTATAATGGTATTGTCGCGCAGCGTATGAAACACTTGAATACATCAGCATCAAACATTTGAAATACATAATAATAATATCAACAGCCGAAGTGTCAGATCGAGCTCTACAATTGGGGATAACCGAATTGATAGCGTTTGCGCGTTCATCATTTCTGCGCTTCCGCATATCGCGCCCCATGGGAATCAACAAACAGGAAGGTAGGACAGATTTCGAACGTTACGAATGTGCAGAGTCAATTTCCAACTAGCAACGTAAACATCTCCTGAATTAAAACTGCTATCATCGTACCGCCTCTGAAAATTTGCACACTATTCTGCCTGAGCAAGAATAACGAGCATGTAAATTATTTTGGCTATAGCGTAATTTTTTCATATATTTTGCGGGTATTTTTGGAGTTGAATAACTAAGTCACGGTCATATTTTACGTATCATCATTTTCTCTGAAAAACAATCATCTTTTTTAACTAGAAATTGACGTTTCTCAGCTGTCTTAGGTATAGTTCTACACCCACTCTTTATGTTAAAAAAATATGCCGCTGATTTTTCCGGGTTGCATGTCCACCGGAGCTCTTTTGACTTTTTATATTACCCTTGCCGTTGCTAGGTAGGTTACGTTGCGTAAATAGAATTACATCTCGTCTTGCGGTAATTCGGGAATCGGGAATTGCTTCTACTGTTTATTCTAAATCATGTAATTTTGTTCACATGCTTCCTTGCGTTGTTTACAGACGTTGTACTAGCGTCCTTTCAGCATCAATATTGTAGAATATAATTAAAAATCCTATTACGGTATAACATCCGCTCTCTTAATTTGACTGTTTCTACAATGACCACGAACCAAGTGATAATACAATAACGCAATATTTTGAGGAAGCTAGTGTATTTTTTTTTTGTCAGACTTTAGTCAACATTTAGTTTTTTCGTTATGGGTCAAATATTGTCATATATACACACAGGGTGTCGGTTCACTATATTCTAGCAGGTAATACAAAGACGCTAATAATGTCGCACCATGAAAATATATGTCTACGTGTATACTTCAATCAGTGGGCAGGGTAATTTCCGAAAAACCAAATCTTGTATGAATGCGGAAAAGAGGTGCCACTGTGTAAAGCTTGTGTAAATATGTGACAGGCATGTGTTACGGAACTGTTTAGTAATCCTATAACTGACTTATATTACGACTCGTACCATTTGAGCAGTTGTGTAATATTTGAAACAAATGTATAATAAATAGAACATTCATTCCGTGTCATGTTGTGCAAAACAGAAATGTTAGTCATTGGAGATTATTTCGAATGTCGGGATGCTAATGCCATGATGGTTATAGAAAGGATCAAATTGTCAACGAAATAAATCAATTTCTGAAGTATTTGTCAAAAAATGTTTACTTCCTGTGTATGTGCATACACGATAATTTACAATATTGTGTTAGAGCGATGTATATCTGGATGGGAACGTTAATGACGTCGTACGCTAATGGTTATTGTGTTTTGTACAAAAGGTATTGTAAAAAAAATATACCCGAAGATATTAAAAGCGCTAGCGTATTATATGTGTGAAGCTCAAGTTTAGGTGAAGTTATATCACGTAATATAACGACTATGTTATTTTATTCCTGGAAAAAATTATATTTCTGTTTATATATGTCACACCCATAAGTTGCCTAAAACTAGATAAGCTTAAATCACAGGTGGACAGATAGGGACAATTTATGTGAAGGGCAACTAACTGGTATCTATACAATAACAACCAGGGATCTCTTACTCCGGTCGAGACAATTCGACAGTCCAGTGGTAAACCGAGGTAACGACGTACATCGAATATTATAATCAAGGAGACATTCACACTGTTAATTAACGACACATACAGGCCAAGTAAACAACAACTTCTATTCAATATTCATAAAGGTGAACCAAGGTCAACAGTGGGCACACATAATTATTCATACATAACACAATAATTGGCACCTCGCTCACTGGAGTATAAACTAACAATAGTATGATAATAAACACTACAAATGCATGAATTGGCAGTAATACGCACAATAATAATCACTTCCGGTTGACAGAATTAACAGCAATGTTCATCACAATAATTACTAAAGTTGTATGACTGAATAGAGAAATACACAATGTCCAACAATATACATGTAGCGTAAACACAACAATAACTATAGTGTTATGAACATCTCTTTTGATAAATAGAACAACAGTTAACCAGTACAACTCAATAAAATTCTGCATGGACTTTAGTACAACGTACAGCCTAATAAAACTATACATGCCATGAGTATACTAACAGTAAAAGCCCTAACCCTAGTTAACTGATTACATGTAACCTCTAATTAATATTTACTTCAGACGAGCATCACACATATACACACAATCTTTGCTGTCTTGTAGGGCACAACGCACGAAATTGCTACTTTAACAACAAGCCAAACGAAAAACTTCCCTCCAAGCGCAAAGACTCAAACATACAAAAATCATACAGTCGCGCGTGTACATTTGAGTAACGGAATTGTTCACTGTTCGAAATCGTATGACAGTTTGCACAAAGTTAACTTTTGTTAGTCAATAACGAGTATCAAACCTGATCTTCAAGTTCCTTACGGTAGCGGCGAGTCCCTCAGTGGCGTACTGGCGTCGATCACGTCAAAGCAGCGACGAAACCCCCACAACTGTAGCAACGGAGCATAGGTCCCTTTGATTTTCAAGTCGCCTCACGCGCTTACAGTAGTTTCACAAACTTGACAAACCCACAACAGCTTCTATCAGTCATTCGACTCAAAATACTCAGGCCCCACGGGTACCTGTCACTCAGCAGGGACTTCAACTCACAGTCCCATCGGCGATGGCCTTTTCTGGTCGCGCTGATCGGTTCAGGCCGCGTTTCAACCAGTCAACTCAGGATGGCGTGGTTCCACTTTAACGAGCAGCCATTGTCCCCCCGTTTTCACTATGCTGACGTCATCCGTTCCACGAAGTGATCACGTGATACTCGCATGTAAAATGCATTCACTCAGGAGCCAAAATAAGTTTCATCGCTCCGTTACGGCTATCCCTGTTAGTATAGTGTATGCAAAAAGCACATCCACACAAATCACTGCATGTCATGTCCGTCTATAACATCTATAACATTTTCTAATTACACAATAAAAATACAACTCAATGGCGTCAAATTTACCAGGCGACACCCTCCCTCCCCAAAACATGTCATTCCCTCTCCTCCACTCCCATAGCTAACCATAAAACAGCTAATGGGAGAGAGAGCAAGGGAGGACATGTAACTAACTAACCATCACCGGGAACGTCTTCTCATGGTGGATGTACGACTGTACTCTTCGTCGTGGCTTTAAGTAATAGCTGAACTTCATCTTAATACAGGTCTGTTACATCATGGCCCAATAAGAATGCATCTGCGCTTCCCTGGCAATCTGGGAGTCCAACCTGCAAATAACCACCCTAGCAAACAAAAGTGTACCAGGTATACTCCCTTAGGAGCGAGGCGCAAATACAAGCAGTTGTACAGTTACACAATCATACATGTCAACAGATATGACCAAGGGTTCACCGAAGGCGATCTCAGTAAGTGTCCTCTGAGTGTCTCCACATACCAATGACTCTGCAAATAAATACAATGTTCATCGTCACGCTAGCCTGCTCCCCAGGTACATGTACATTGCACCAGTCGTCACCCCTTCACTATATGGTGGTCCATCCCCCAACTTGTTGAGCCATATGAGAAGGATAATACCAACTCGAAACCTCACAATACGCTGAACTACAACGTGGTCGGATATAATACCACATATGCGAAGTCCCACTCTCCCCTCAGCTGGGTGTTGTCATTCAGAGGTGCTCAATCAAATCCTCGTCCTCGACAACCTCACTATATGACAATCTGACGACATACACATACCTGTAGCAGGTAGGCACATTCCAAACGCATCCCGATTATGATTAGTAACACTTCATCCGTTGTCTATCACTAACCGTCGATAATAGTTCTCCTCCCCAATCAGATACTGCTGAATTACTATCCAATGCAAGTAGATCTGTAAGTGAATGTTGCAAATTCTGTATATGTCAAATTCCATATCTCCTACAGCTTTTAACATCATTTGGCTTACTAAAAGCATCTCGTTTAGTGGTCCACAGACTAGTGACTGGGAGATGATTTGACACTTGTTTGTTCGCTACCCTGGCTAAAGCTATCTTCCGTGAACACCTGGTTAATTCCCACGGGCACACACCGGTCTTCTCCCGCATTAAAGGATAGAGTCATGCCCCAAGCGGTTCATCATCAACCATTCGATCGTTCGACATGAACGTTGGTGCGGCTGCATTCAACCTAAAATCCATGGTTTGATTCATGTCACTAAAGCCATAATACTGTGTTCTTCATCTATTTCTCATAGGGTATCTCTTCTCTGTTGTTACATCGTCTGTCGGCACCTCAGTTGCCGTTTCACATGGCATCACATCTTCTTCCAACATTACATCAGCAGAACCATCCATGTTCTCACTATTAGTATCTGCCAATTACGTGTCTTGGCTGGATCCAGATGCTTGGCTCGCATTTCCCAGTCACACGGTCTTGGTCATGTACTGAACTTCCCACACTCTCAAGGACAACAGTACCCTCATCCAAAGTGCCACTTCCAATACATGGTGTATCAGCGGTTATAGTGTCGTTGTCACTCACTGTATTGTCAAGGCTAGCAGTTATGACAGCTGGTGATGCCTCTATTTCAGTCACAACTCAACTATCAACAGGTGGCATAACTGTCTCATCTTGTGGTCAGTCAGTCTCTTCACTGCTACTACTAGACATCGCCTCTGTCACAGGCAAACCACCTTCGCTATCTCTCGCTTGTGTTCTCTCTAATAATATCTGGTCATCAGATGAGCTCTCTAGTACGGTGTCGCTAGACTCTCTGACCACTCTATTGGTGCGCCGAGTGCGAGTCCGTCTACAACAATTTCGTTTCGTTATGATTGGTGTACGCATTGGACGATCCGGTGGAACTGCTGGCAGGGCATAGCATGGCATCAACAAATTACGATGAATCGTCCGGCGCTTCCCCCCACTCTCTGGCTTCAGTACGTAAACAGGGATGTCATGATTCACTCTCTTGACTACCAAGTAAGGCTCATGTTCCCACTTGTCTGTAAGTTTCTGTTTACCTCGGATAGATACATTGCGTATCAAAACACGGTCGCCAGGTTCCAAGTCGGCTTCTTTTGCCTTTTTATCATACAAATATTTGTTCTTCCTTGCTCTGATAGTCATCTTGTTCCCAGCTATCTTATACGCTGCCTGTAAGTCTCTGCGTACTCTCTCTACATATGTTTCATAGGTCTCTTTGTCCTTGTCACTAGGCTCCAAACCCAGATAGATATCATTGCGCAACTTTGGATGATGTAACCTACCAGTAATGACGAATTGTAACAGGTTTCTTTATCAAGGCATGCGCAGATCCCATATGACCATTAATACCAACAAAGCAATGTCTATACCTCAACTTATCATATGTCCTTTTCCCAGGTGTAGACATCTTACCAACTTCATTGTGATTCTTCTTTCTACTGTCTGCAGCAGCTCGCATACATGGCTCCAACACATTTGTACCCAATGTTATTGGTACTCGATTTCCATGCTCTGTATCTGGAACTACCACTACCAGGGCATCCATGGTCTGTTCTACACCATATATCGACAGTGGCAGTCCTAACTGTACTTCCAATAGTCCCAATACTGGCAAGCTTGGTCACTAACACCCAGTATTCGCAAATCAGCAGCAGACATGTCCAAGGGAAAACCAGATAAATGAGCATCATAAAACCACTTACTCAATGTAGTTACTTGTGAACCTGTATCCATTAGACAACGTGCACTATGATTGCTCACTGTTATTACTTCCTCATATGCTGGTCCTACGACTCTGCGACAAATATCCGTTTGCATCAGTTGCAGGTTGGGGATGGAGTCATCTACACTCAGGGGTGTCCTATCATTTCTCTTTTTGGGCGGTTACGTTTCTGCTGTAGAACTCTTCTTTGTTCATATCTCGCAGGCGGATCACGTGTCTTGCAATCAGACTCACCAAAAGTGGATGTTGTCTGTTTAGCATTATTCTCCTTTTTCTGAGGGCAGTTCCTGGAGTAATGTCCCTCCACTTTACAATAGAAACATCTCTGTGCCTGCCGTTTCTTGTCTAGACAGTCTCTGGCCATGTGGTCTGGGTCACCACACGCATAGCAATGTCTAGACACTTTAGGGTTACCTTTATACTGTCTCTTGGAACCGGGGTCATCGTTTTCTCGTGTAAAGCCTGTTGTCTGTGTGCCATACTCAAGCGTTGATTTGACTTTCATCTCCAACCTATCCAAACGTTCAATAACAGACGATAGCGTTGGTTTCAATTGTTCAGCAAATCCTCTAGCTACTCCGCTTACAACATCTGTTTCGCTAAACCGCGCCTTACCAGAGTTGTCCTGTACCTGTACGGCATAATCAGTAGCCATCAGTCGGGTCATTGCGGGTTTCAATTGTGACAGGGGTTGGCATGGCTGGCGCCTGTCACTAACTTCTTCCTGAGCTTCTCTCGCCAGCCCTACCATCTCATCAAAATCATACACTCTGTTTACACGATGTCTGATAGCATCCCTGACTGCTTCATCTCGCAAACCTCTCCAAAATGTATTTCTCAGGCGTTGGTCCATGGCCGATTTAAGTATACCACCCTTTCGCCCTACTTTATTTAACTCTTCCTCTAGTTTGTTAGCAAAGTCAGCAATGGTTTTTTTTCTTTTTGTAGCCCCTTACTATAAAAGTTCGCCAGAAGTGTCTCAGTGGATTGAACATCACCATAGCGCTTGCGTAGCTTTCTCAGTAACTGGTCAAACGTAACATCAGGTCCCATCCCGTCTATGAGCCGAACCACACATCCTTTCAATGAGGCTCTAATTGTTCGCAGCATCGATATGGGGGACTCTTTATTGCCATGTAAGTACGTCTTCACCTCGCCTTCCCACGTCAGGAAGTCAACATCAGATGTTCGACCAACATCTCCAGAAAATGCACTCAACTTGTGTCTATCTGCCAGATATACTGCCGTATAGCTACCATCTCTATCAGTGCAGGTGTCAACCACAGCGTCATTGGTACCATGCCTTCTACCATAGGGGCCCAATGATATTTTCTCATTATCTAATTCACGATCCAAGCGGTCGATATCGTTCCCAAACAAATCTGAACGATTAGTCTTCCCAGTACCTACCATAGTTCTAAATGACTCAGGTCGCTCTTGTCTAGTGGGTGTATTCTCTCGGCTACACCCCCTCGTACATAACTATCGTTGTCACGCTCATAATCAACATCCCAGTTTTCACCAGCGAGTCTAGAGTGTTCTATATGTCTCCATTCACACTGTTCAGCTTCTCGCTGTTCATACCTTTTCTCTATCTCTTTCCGAAATTTATCAAGCCTCTCTTTTCTGTTGTTCATCTAACAACCATTGACTCTTGGCTCTGTTTAAACGTTCGTCCTCTTCGAGTCTCCATTTTATTTTATTTTGATCAATTCTGCGCAACATTTCTCTTTCTTCACGTATTTGTGCAAAGCTTAACGGTCTATCACCAGTGTCAGCCGTCTTGTCCGGTGACGTATCTACGGAGTGTCTCTTGTCACCATCGCTCATATCACCCCATGCTACCTTGTCCTCCATTATAGTAGCAATACTAGTCAGCATACATGTCTGCTCCTGAAAAAAAATACTCAAAATGATCTCATTAAATAACAACTGTTTACCACAACTGTTTACCACTTAGACCGGATACTGGATACAATTTGGATCCAGTTGATGCCTAACACGTTGGGCGCCATTTATCTGTCACGCCCATGAGTTGCCTAAAACTAGATCAGCTTAAATCACAGGTGGACAGATAGGGAACATTTATATGAAGGGCAACTAACTGGTATCTCTGTAATAACAACCAGGGATCTCTTACTGCGGTCGAGACAATTCGGCAGTCCAGTCGTAAACCGAGGTAACGACGTACATCGAATATTATAATCAAGGAGACATTCACACTGTTAATTAACGACACATACAGGCCAAGTAAACAACAACTTCTATTCAATATTCATAAAGGTGAACCAAGGACAACAGTGGGCACACATAATTATTCATACATAACACAATAATTGGCATCTCGCTCACTGGATTATAAACTAACAATAGTATGATAATAAACACTACAAATGCATGAATTGGCAGTAATACGCACAATAATAATCACTTCCGGTTGACAGAATTAACAGCAATGTTCATCACAATAATTACTAAAGTTGTATGACTGAATAGAGAAATACACAATGTCCAACAATATACATGTAGCGTAAACACAACAATAACTATAGTGTTATGAAAATTTAGTTTGATAAATACAACAACAGATAACCAGTACAACAACTCAATAACATTCTGCATGGACTTTAGTACAACGTACAGCCTAATAAAACTATACATGTCATGAGTATACTAACAGTAAAAGCCCTAACCCTAGTTAACTGATTACATGTAACCTCTAATTAATATTTACTTCAGACGAGCACCACACAAATACACACAATCTTTGCTGTCTTGTAGGGCACAACGCACGAAATTGCTACTTTAACAACAAGCCAAACGAAAAACTTCCCTCCAAGCGCAAAGACTCAAACATACAAAAATCATACAGTCGCGCGTGTACATGTGAGTAACGGAATTGTTCACTGTTCGAAATCGTATGACAGTTTGCACAAAGTTAACTTTTTTAGTCAATAACGAGTATCAAACCTGATCTTCAAGTTCCTTATGGTAGCGGCGAGTCCCTCAGTGGCGTACTGGCGTCGATCACGTCAAAGTAAGTAATTAGTATTGTTTGAGAAAATACCATTGGTTTTACACCGTGTGCGACAAAACCATTACGACAGGCTTTTTTTATCTATAAGAATATTTTTATTAATACAGATATTTATTTGAACCAACTAAATATCATAATCTGTTAAAACATGGGTAGACTAATGATTTCAGAATCAGAAAGATATACCGTCGCATTTAAATTCGAAGTTGATGCTTTAGAGTTTTGAATATTTTTTTAGAGATGGTTTTGTGTTAAAATTGTTTTTTTCTCTCTAAATGAATGAAATAGTGCAGAAATCATGCATATTTAGTCCCTCATTTAGTAAGAATAAAGTAGGTGCCATCAGTCTGCATATCCTTGGGGGCAGACATCCGGGCATTTTCACCACCTGGCAACCCTCACGGTGAAAACAAAGGCCCAAAACTCGCAGAAAACGGTACTTTGAGATGATTGTTGAGACTCCTCTGAACAGTGTAACAAGATTAGCCCTACGTGTGTAACATATATAAATTTGGTTGTTTAGAATTATTTCAAAGTTGAGTTTGTGTTGTTTTCTCGAATTTTCTCCGACTCGACCGGCGTTCCACAGCAGCGCGCACAGAGCCCAT